ACACAGATAAAGCATGGCATCACAATCGAACAATAATATATTAAGCAGTGAAGTCGAAGAGTCTTCCTTACCATTACCCCTAGAACTAAAACATTGTTTTGATAATTTAATTGTTATTGATGCTGGTGCAAACCTTACAAATAAAAAATATAGCAGAGACTTGGAATCGGTCATACAAAGAGCAAAAGATGCAGGTAAGAATATCAAAAACCAAATACAAATACATTTTATACGTACTTATATATATATATATATATATAATAAAGATATTTTTTTTGTCACTGCTTCATTTGCGTATCACCCCTCTGCTGTTTATTTTTAATTTATTTTGTATTATTATTAAAAATTAATTCTATTAATTTATTAGGTGTTCAAAAAATTATGGTTCCCGGTACTTCTGTTAAATCAAGTAAGGAAGCCTTACGCTTATCACGTTTATATCCCGATATAATATACTCGACTGCTGGCATACATCCTCACGACTCAAAGTCAATAATAGAAGAACCAACAAGTTGGTTTGAATTTACACATATAGCAGAATCCCAAGAGTGTGTGGCAATCGGTCCGTGTGGCCTTGACTATCAACGGGACTTTTCAGAACCAGAAGTTCAAAAAGAAATCTTCGAAAAACAAATTAATCTAGCTTGTAGTTTGGGGAAAGCTCTTCTTATACATGAACGATCAGCACAGAAAGACGTTCTCGATATACTTGATAAGTGAGTATGAATTTCTATAAATTTAAATTCAATATTCACACCCATTTATTTTCATTTAGATTCGAACACTTACCGCCTGCCATCATTATCAGAGGGTTCATGGGTACATGTGATGAGGCAATACAATATTTAAATAGAAGGTTTTACATAAGTCTCACTGGTTATTTATGCAAGGTAATTCCAGCTTTAAGGTTCGAAGGTTGGATTTAAAACTAGAAACATTAATGTATATAAGTATATATTTAAACCTTTATATAAATAGTAATTAATTTTGATTAAGTTCATTAGTTGCGATTTTAATCAATTAAGTGAATAAGAGTAATTATATATTAATTACTGTCTAGTCGGAAATATGTATTTAATATTGTTTTATAATAATACTATATAGGTATAAAAAAACTAATAAGCAAATATTAAAATATTACCTTGTAGGACAAATCAGATACAGGAGTCCGTAAACTGCTGGAGGATGGTACAATACCATTAGATAGATTGCTGGTCGAAACTGATTCACCATTTATGTATCCAAATACGAGAGCTTCTAAGCTTCCTCAAAACGTCAAGACTGCCATAACGGAACGTTCATTACTGTATTTACATAGGTAAAAACTTTTTAAAATTTACATGTTTTCACACAATTGTGATTGTAAAATTAAATTTAAATTCTATAGGTATTGCACTTTTCAACGTAATGAACCTTGCAGCTTACCAGCCATTGTGGAGATGATAGCTGCATTTATGAATAAAACACCCGATGAAGTAGCATTGGCTACTGCATTCAATGCTCTTAAACTATTTGGGCTTTCCTAGATCCTATACTGGAAAAAGTGGGTTGGGCTTCCAATGTGCAAAAATGCACATTTTCCAACGATTTGAAATAAAGTGGTACTAGTGGCTCTAATTAATTTGTTTTGAAACCGTAGTGCCAAATTGATTTGTCACCTATAAAAAAGTACTGCTGCAACTTTATATACTATAATCGACAAACACAAGACTTTATAAGTGCCTTATTATTTTTAAATCGGGCATTCTTGCCTGAATTTATTACTAACAACGACAAATACTACGATATAAAAGCATGCGATTTATATACTCATAATAATGTACGTACATTGTTCGAATGTTGGTGTACCAAAGTATTTGGAATACCTACTAGGCTAAGACTTAAAATACGTGTTATAAGCGACGCAATTGATTCTTTAAAATACTATAAACACATAGGGTTTAATTGATTTGTGTTTTTACTACTGTTGCTTTTGTTATATTAAATAATTTATTTATATATGTTTGAATCAATGCGTCGTACTATTTTTTTAAGCTTTATAAGCGTCCATGGTTTTAATTAGCAAAGAATACAATGCTGCAGATTGTTGTCTTAATTAAGATATAAAAATTAATGCTAATTTGAACTAAATGTGTAAATAGTTTTTGTTATGCGGAACTTATAATTCGCAAACTCTTATTCAATAAGCATCATTTAAATGTGATCATTTAAAACGCTATTTATTGTTATTATATTTACATATGCATATCCATACATATTTATTTACACTGATACCTAAAATTACCATAAATAAAAATATGAAATAAAACAATTTTTCCAGATTCATTTTTAGAGGTCTTTCTGCATTAACACCAAAACCATTGTTTGTTTTGTTTTCTCTTTGGCATCTCACACTGCATTCAATTTTGAATTTTTTTTTATGCAAAGCGATGTATGGTTTTGTGATCTTCAAATTTATTTAATTGATGTAAATTATCCCACCAAGTTTTTAGCCGATGATGTAATATAAGTTTAAACCAAGGGGTCAAGGGCGCATCAAAACGTGAGACTGCCATATCTATTTCAGATCTTTTTAAGAATTTAATATCGCTCACTTCATTACTATTAGGCTGCAAATCAACATCCTTCTGCAAAAATAATATGTAGTCAATTTCATGTTCACCCCATTTGCCATCACCTGTGTTTGCATAATGAATACGTGTCAAAAAGTGAAAGTTGTCTGGTTCAATTTGGTCGGTTGGTATTCCCAGTTCGTAATTCAAACGGCGTTGTGCTGCCCTTCGAATGCCATAGGCATTTTCTTCGGTACGCTCATTTTCAATGTCAAACAATGGATGACTACAACAAGCATTAGTATATGTATCCGGAAATGTGATCTATTAAAATATTAAATTTGAATTTTATTCATTAAAGAAACCTTATTGTGAACAAACCTTGTGCACAGATCGTCGCTGTACAAGCATTTCTCCCTTTTCATTAAACAGAAAAACACTAAAGGCTCGATGTAATTTTACTGCACCAGTCTTTTTATCAACACGGTGGCAATCAGCTTTAGATGCTGCACCAATTGCATTATCTTCATTGTCAACTAAAATGCAGTTTTCTTTTAAAGCTTGCTCCTGTAAAAAGTCATGAACTTGAGTAATATCTTCTTTTGCATTAGACGATGTGGCTGTAACTGATGAAAAGTTTCTTCCAATTTGTCTGCCAAATCGAGTGAAAGTATTTAAATTTTTTAACATTTTTAATATAACGATTTATTTATTGTATGTATTCACGTAAGATTTAAATGAAATGTTTCAATATTTTTAGAAATGGTATGCCATAAGTGAAACCTGCAGCTGTTCAAAGAATAATAAAGTAAACTGTGCAGTGATGTATTTCTTTTATATACCCTCGCATATAATTAAATAATGAATATTAAGTGATAATATGTAATTAAAACAATTTTTTGTAAATTTTTTATACAACTGTGCGTACCTGAAAGTTAATTTTTCTTTTAAACAATACATCATTATAGTTTGAATAAATTATAAAAGGATTGGTATATCAAAAATTAAAATATCATTTATTATTAGGAGTATACATTATGTCCTTAAAATAGCAACTTGCACTTAAAAAACATAAATAAACATTTTTTAACATAATACTATAACATAATAAATAACTATAAAAATTTACATTCCAGTTTATACTACTTTTTCATTTTTTTCACGCTTTTCAACACTGTAAAGCTGCAATGATACACAATTTATTGCTTTTATTAAACTGCAAGTAAAGATAAGGGTCAAATTGTAAATATATTAAGGAATTGTAAAAAATGGTAAATACGCCCATTTATTTTGAAGATCATGAATATTATATAGACATTTTTATAGATCCGATTTATCCTTATTCAAAACCGAGCAGGCAAAACTCGACTAGCTAAATGGTACATGAATTTTGATGACGACGAGAAACAGAAATTGATTGAGGAAGTTCATGCAGTAGTCACAGTTCGTGATGCAAAACACACCAATTTTGTAGAAGTAAGTTATAATTTACGCCTACCTTATCGATGAAAATTAATATTTACTTATACATTATTTTAGTTTAGAAATTTTAAAATCGTGTATCGAAGGTACGCTGGACTATACTTTTGCATTTGTGTAGATGTCAACGATAACAATCTGTGCTATTTAGAAGCGATACACAATTTCGTAGAAGTTTTAAATGAATATTTTCATAATGTTTGTGAGCTAGATCTTGTATTTAATTTTTACAAAGTGTACACGGTAGTTGATGAAATGTTTTTAGCAGGAGAAATACGAGAAACATCACAGACTAAAGTTCTGAAACAATTGTTAACTTTAAATTCCTTAGAGTAAAAATAAATGTTCATTCCAGTTGCACTTTAAAGTGCTTTACCATTAATTTAACCTACACTTTGCAATACTATTAACGTTTGAATATAAATTATAAATTGTATATGAAATCTCTGGCTTGTATTATTATATATGTACACGTATGATTATTTACTAAAATAAGAAAGTACTCATGTTATTTAGTTCAAATAGTATAAAAATAAATTAAACACATTTAATCCAACATTTTGATTTTTGTACCTCTGAGAAAAAAGTGTTTTGAAAATAAACAGCACACATACGACGATATATCGTATTGTAATTTGTGTAGTTAATACTTGAGCTGTTCAACAGTGTCTTTCAAACTGTTTTTATATATACTGATTTGAAGACCCCAAGCACGATGTTGAAATATATTTAAATCAGTATAATTATTTTGTCTACAATTACATGTATCAACAGAAATACATAGTTTTCAATTTCACATTTCCTATAAAATATATCAAATTAGCAAAAATAAAACTATAAACCTTGCAATCTGAACGTAACATACACTACTTGATTTGAAGCCAATGTTAGGATGTAAACAAACATTTCAATTATTTCTGTTTGTTTACATGAGTTCAAAAATAGGGATAGATTGTTTATGAAATATTTAATTGAGATTTAATATTTCGTGGAATTTGACGCAAAAAAAGGATCAACAAATTTTATGAAAATTTAAATAATTCATGTTCATAGTTATCGTTTTAAATGGTGATTTAATAGGGGTATTCAGATATAAATCGGTTATCACTTATGTTACAACGTTTGAATAAAGTTTAAAATTTGTTCTCGGTAAAGTTTTAAAATTAAACTGTCAATGCATCCAATATTGTTTTTGATTGTAAAGTTAGCAACCCTAATAGATTGTCCTTTATGATTTTCTTTTATTTAATCTTGAATTTAAAATGTAGATTTGATTTTAAATTTTTTATCACAATTTTCTTACGATTCAGCTTTCGCAAGTACGCCCATTTAACAATAGATTTTAATAAAGATTATTATTATTATTATTATACTCTACTTTTTTCACTATGCTGTATATCAATATATCCGCTATCTAGAGGTTGGACATTTTTGCATTTCTTTAATTAAATTGTGTCTAATAACTACCAAACACTTATAATGTGATCTTGTCACATTATTGCAATTATTTTCCATTATAAATTATAATAAAGATTAGAAATAAATAACCAAAATGATAGTTTCATTAAACATTTAGCATATTTAGCAAATATTAATGTAGGGAAATATATTTTCATATTTATGCACTCATATCTTTTTTGCTCATAATTTCAAATGAACTAACTCCTCAGCATTATAAATTAATAAATTTTTTTGTAACAAAAATTTAACAAATTTTAGTTATAATTATGTATAAAATTATTATTAAAAAATTTGTTTATTTTGAAATGGTTTTGATTTTTCTTTTCCAATTCTTCTAAGATAGTAAGAAAATCTACGATATTAAGACATTTGCAGAGTTGCATAGAAAAATAATCACCATATTTAAGGAGATTAAGAATTAATTTCGACCAAAACGAGATTAACTTTTGTATTGGAAATCTGTAATTAAACAACTAGTACTTTCATCGCGATGATTGTTTTAATCTACTTTTAATCTCATTGTAAACGCAGTATAATAAAAAATGTTTTAAACTCTGAATGCAACATTGACAGTTTGATGGTTTAGTAGGCGATCTAATCAACCGAAAGAAAGAGATAGCTGCTGTGAATTTTTTTATAAAATAGGGAAAGCTATAACCATTTTAGATTTGCATCACTTCGCCTTTGTCTTTTGTCGTGTCGTCGTTAAAAAATTATTGACAGTATAGTTAAGATTTTCCTATTCATTGAAAATAAATTTTATTACGCTCTTTTAAGTTTAGTTTTTCAAGAGCATAATAAAATTTGACGATATTGAGATATAAATTTGAAATATAAGGAAAAAAGGCGTGTGTTCGTATTAAATATAAAAAGTAAATTTATCGAATTTTGTGAAACTATAATTTGAAGAAAAAAAATGTCGGCTATGAATCCGGAATAGTAAGTGCAAAAAAATACTTAATATACAATAAAATTTTAATTGTGTGTATCATTAATAAAATATATAAATTGCTACGTCATTTGTGCCTACTCCCTTTTTGCAACGATAATATTTAGTTGGTGTAAATGACGTTTACATATATAAATATATTTTTTTTGTGTTATAATTGTTAATTTAGTCAATATAATTTTAACGTGAAATAAAAATATTTATATAAAATATTCCTTAAACCATGATAGGATGGTTGGATGAGTAATGTTCGTCGACGTGTTTCTGCTACGTAATCGCTTTTTCTCTATGTATGTATATGTGTATTTGTGTTGTTTTTTCTCTATGTTCATGACTGTTGTATTTTGCGTTGTTTGCTTGCTGCCTGCTCTGTCCCCTTACTTTCAATTAGGCAACTGAAAACGTATACAAACTATACAAGTGCGTCGGCACAGACATTTTTAATTTTGTTTTCAATTTAGATGTTACAAATAGAATTAAAATATGATATTTTAAATATATTTCTTTCACTTAAAATGTGTTATAGAAAGCATTTTTTTTTGCAATATATTTCAAAATATTTTTTAAGGAGAATTTCCAGCTTTGTTGTGAACGATAAACAAATCATAGAGCCCTTTGTTTATAGTACGTAATTTTAAATTAAAATATTTTAATTGTGCCACGTACGGCAACTGAATAGCAATGTGTCTATAAACAGTATTTAACAAATTAGTGCTAAATAAAATTCTATCTTTGCAGATATTTTGCTTTTTTCTGCAACAATACTGAAACTAATCGTTTCTACCTGACTTACTACTTAAAACACACACACACAAAACTATTACATATACATGTACATATAATGCATGCTTCCATCTCATTTATAGCACAAAATGTAAACAGAATCCGTCAATTGTTTCCGAAATTTACGCATAAAGAAAAATGGTTGTTCAGTATTAAAAATAAAGCGTTAAATCAATTCTAGATCATTACCATCCATTTTTTCTTAAAGAATAATTTCTTAGCAAGTTTTTTATGTGATCAGAAATGTCATCAATACATCATAGGCAAATGCACGGGTAAATGGGCAACGGAGATTTCTATGTTTCGCGAAGCTAGTTGGTTTATAATAATAATACAATTTTATTTCTATTATATGAGTTATGCCTCAATGTATTTGCCTCATCCTATTTAAAATTTAACTTTATTTGTTATATGAGTATTACTATAATATTAAACTTTTCTTTTTGGTTTTTGAATATTACCTAAGACAGAGTTATTGGTTAGAATCCTTATCTTATTGTTACCTAAATGTCAAAATTTTTATACTATAGCTTTTCTTGAGGCGGTGATATGTTCTCTCATAGGACGTTCGGATGTTGTGCCTACACTTGCTGAAATTCCAACGTTTAACTAGTTTGAACGTTGTACCAGTTCCAATTTTGATGATCGGCGTACAACACATTCTTAGAAAATATCTGTTACAGAATACTGAAAGTTTTAAGCAAAGGCGATATATTTGAATTTTAGGTTCAAGAAATACTTTAGTCTATGTACTATTAATACTAGATACATACTTGGAGAAGAGTATTTCTAAAGTGGCAATACATGTTCTGTATAGTACCCGGCAGTAGAGTACAGTACAGCTGATGAATACAAGTTTTTTCTTTCAAGCAATATTAATCAGTCGGGCGTTCGTACTTTTATAAAGTAAGCGGTAAAGGTAGGCGATGTGAGTTCAGATAATGTTGTTGTTGTAACCCGCTGGTTTATATATAATCTCTGATAATCGTCTGTATAAATGAGTTACTCTGGGCGTAAACTTTGTTCCAATGTATTAAAAAAATTGTGATTATTAATTCCAGTAAACGAAATAAACTTTTGTTCACAATGCTGTTATGTACAACTAGCTTTATGTTACTTTCCTTGTAAGTTTATCTTCTAGAAACTTCTCATACTCTCAAAATTCCATACATTATTTTAAATTGATAAGACATCATGAAGTCTTCATGTTACACAAAGTTTTATCAAAGTTATCATACATTTTATTGGTCCAATAAAGCCACGTCAAACTTGTAAAAAATCGTTTGCTTTACCGGAGAGTAACCCCTATGAATAATGCTATGTGCATTTTAAAAGATTAGGTCTTGTCACCGTACCGAAACACTGCACGGTCACCTTCTTTGTTCTTAATTCAAACGATGAGGTCAACTGTTGGTTATAAATATCGACTATGACTTTTTTCTGCACAAATATTTGATCACTACATCAATTTTTTGCAATCTACAAAGTATAATTCAACGTTAATATAGTTAAATAAATTAATGTAATCAATCGCCAACTGAAATAAAACTAACAAAAAATGGATAAGATCTTCACAAAAAGTGATTTTTTGAATGGGTACTACAGTTCTTTATAATCAACTAGATTACTAAAATGTTCAGAACAATTAATACTTTTCGTTTTGTTATTTATTTAACATATTTTTGCAACCATCTGAAAGTGTTTATTTATTTCAAAATTTTAAATAATTTAATTATTAACATTAAACTCACGTCAAGTTTCATTACTTATGTGATTTTACTATCAACAACGAACATATTAATTTTATTATGCAAACTCTATTTAAAATGCGTATATAATCCATAATTTTTATGCCAAGCAATTAAAATGAAAAAGAATTCTTTCTGAAAAGTAGCCACTACATAGGCGGCGCACATTAAAATACATTTTCTTTTGTTAATATTGTTGTTTAGACATAAACATATCATTTAGATAGATAGTTGGATCCCGGTATATAACCCTTAGACCTTAAACTGTAAGAAGTGATCCTGCTGTGATTCTACAAAGTAATATACAGATGAATATGTCTCTTTGCTGAACTGTGAAATACATGTTATTTTGACGAAACATGCCATGTCCTCAATTAATACATTGGCGATGTCGTATAAACATTAAAGATTTAAGATATGATGAATTATTTAAACAGATAACATTTTTGAATTTTTACTTTGAATAACGGTTGCGACAGGAGTCTTTGCAAGAAGATTTAAGAATCCGATTGGCATGTTTACTCATTATTCAGTGCCCTGTTAGTATAGCAATTGTGCTCGATAGCCCAAAACGATTATGACGAATCGATTGTATTGTACTTATGAATTGTGAGCAGGTCGTGTTTCTAATAGGGTTTACTCTGACTTCTTTGCGCCACATTTGTTCGCTCATTCTAAAGGGTTCTGTTCATAAATAAAGAGTTACCTACATTTAGTATGATTAACAGGCTACAGATAATTCAGATAACCAAGTACCGCTCATTACTCCCAACTGCAACAATACCATTATCATGAGATAGTATTCATAAGTTACTTCTTAAAAATATCATAGTGTCTCCAATATACAGGTTTAGATATACTCGATATAATATTTTGTGTGTTACGATCTTAGTCATAAAGTTACTTGGCGCTAAAAATAGATTATGTGTAGTAATGGCCCATGCGGTAAGCACATATGATCTGAAGTCATTCAGTCAATTGTCATTTAATTTAATAAAGAAAATATATAATTTATTGCGAAATTAAATAAAAGCTAAATAGATAAGGATTTGAGTCATTTCATACTGTGTGTCTGTTCACAGGACGTATAACTGTTAAACGATTTGTATTACATTCTATTAAGAACCTTTTTAAGTTGGGATTTCAATAAATGTTTTTTTTTAAACAGTTTTTTTAACCTTTGTTATGAGAAATATTGTTTAAAATAGAACGGCATTTCGAATTGTTTTTCATTAATGTGGACAAACATCACAAAATTTTTATATAGAATAAATACGATACCAACAGTATTATGTTATAAAGAGTTATATGCTATTTTTGACTAAATCATCCTTCCGACAGTTGCAAGAAATGTTCGTAGAACTTGAAACCGATTTTAGATTAACTAACCAATAAATACATTTTCATCACTAAATTTAGAACATTAATATTTCAATAAAAGTTTATTATTTATTATAGTTTATTATTTACTAATTCTGGTTGCGGGTCTTGTAAACTAATATGATTTAACTATATTTATTTATTTATTACAGTGATTACTTGTTCAAATTGCTATTGATTGGTGATTCTGGTGTTGGGAAATCGTGCCTATTGCTTCGTTTTGCTGACGATACATACACAGAAAGTTACATCAGTACAATTGGTGTAGATTTTGTAAGTTATATATGATTTTTAAATTATTATAAACACTATATAATTTTAACAATGTGTTTTTTTTTTATAGAAAATAAGAACTATAGAATTGGACGGTAAAACAATTAAGTTACAAATTGTAAGTATTAATATAAAAAATAGTGAAATTTATGTTGAGTTTTGTTTAAAATATGATATAAATAATCTTAGTGGGACACTGCTGGACAGGAAAGATTCCGTACAATTACTTCATCGTATTATCGTGGCGCTCATGGTATCATTGTTGTATATGATTGCACGGATCAGGAATCCTTTAATAATGTTAAACAGTGGCTCGAAGAAATTGAACGATATGCATGCGAAAATGTAAATAAACTATTGGTGGGAAATAAAAGCGATTTAACTACTAAAAAAGTTGTCGATCACATTACAGCTGCGGTAATATTTTATTTTATTACATTAAAATGAAAAAACATTTTAATTTACGTATTAACATTTTAGGAGTATGCAAATCAATTAGGCATTCCATTCCTTGAAACTTCAGCTAAGAGTGCTACCAATGTCGAGCAAGCATTCATGACGATGGCAGCTGAAATAAAGAATCGTGTTGGGCCACCTTCTAGTGCTACTGAAAACGCTAGTAAAGTTAAAATTGATCAAGGACGTCCAGTGGAGAATACCAAGTCTGGTTGCTGCTGAATAACTCTGTGAAACATTATTTTATTATGCTAAACATTTAAACAAAAATCTATATAAAATAATAAATAAATAAAAATGATAACGATACGACGGTAATTATTATTAAAATTACGAATTCCAATATGGACACAATTTACAAAAAAAGAAAAATATATAATAATTTTTTTAAGTTGAATCAAAGGAAGTGGAAAATTTAAACTAAAGTTTAAATTGAATGAATTAAAAAACTTAAACTTATATAAAGAGATACTGTATTACCGTGTCATGAAGCGGTTTACTTTATTTTCGATTAACTTTATTGAACATTTTATTTTTATTTCAGAATAATGATTATCTAAGATTCTGTTTATATTGGTTGCGTAATGTACACTAGATTGCAACATTAGTTTAATATATTTAATAAAGTAAAATCAAATACACAT